ATGTTATTATTATAAGAATATTTCGCAAAATTAAGAACTATATCATATTTTTTTTTTATTAAGAAAATGCTATAATTTTCTTTCTAATTTCGTTATTAAATGTTAATTTTTTATATGTAAAGATACTATATAATATTTATAATTAGCCAGTATAATTATCTAGTCTCAGATTTTAATAATACATTCAACATATTTTTAGTTTATTATTTAAAAAAGACTCAATTTATGTTATATAAATATTATACTATTATGTACGCAAATACAATATATTGTTTCAAACAAATGCCTTTAATAAATATGTATGTTAAAAAGTTAAGCAAATGTTTTATTTTTAAATAAATTTGCATTAATAATGATGAATTATAAAACTGTAACATTGTGGGCCATTTCTACATACAGGGAAACTTTTTTAAAGGGCAAACCAGCATACATACAATTTAAGAGTCAATATTGTTTAACTTAAGTGATTTAAATTACGAACAACTTTTATAATTAATTCCCTTTATTTCGAGCACAGAAATTTTTTTACTTTGTTTAGTTCAAATTATTTTAAAAAAAAATTGACGTCAACTTATCTGCCAATACTGACTAAAAACTCACTGCAATCAATTATAAAACCCCTTTCACCACACTTCGTATTTCGATGTGCTAAATAAAATTAGTAGAAAATTTTTCGAAATATTTTTAATTAAAAAGTGTAAACAAAATTTTTTATTACATTTATTTATTCAAAAATTATTTGAAATGAAATTAAAAAAATATTTAACAAAACAGTAAACATATAAACATTTACTTTTTCTATATTAATTCTTTTTGTGAACGGTGATACTCTGTGCAAATTATTTAAATAATGGAATTATTTTACCAAATTTTATTTTATTCAATTTAATTTTTGTATATTTAGCAATTAAAACAGAACAATAACACAAAACTAAAGATGCATTATAATAAAATATATTATAAAATATAGTTATTGCCTCAAATGGTTTTTTTATTACTTATAAATTTACAAACTGCTTTTAATGTACTCGAATCTATTAAACATATTTTATTGTAAATTATAGATTTATATAATTTTGTGAACAGATTTAATTTATAGATAAACATAAGTTTTATTTTAACCAGTTTTCCTCATTAATATTACTAAACATATTTAATGTACTAAAATGAAAAATAGTAATAATCCTTTTGTGAAATGTATGCAATTTGACATAAGCTTGGTAAAATAACATGCATTGAATGTTATAAAAAATGAATTTTCTGAAAAATTTCTTACGTTATTCTCAGAGAGCAAAGAGTTTCTTTTCTTACACAGATATTCTTTGCTTGAAATAATACGTTCGAGTAAAGTCTGTGTAGTATTTTCAAATTTCGACAGGGATGTTACGCTCTCTCAGATGCTCTCATTTACTCGAAAATTTGCTGGTGGAACGCACTTGTGTATATACAGTGTTACTACGAGTAACTCGTGGAACAGACTTAATGTTCCAATGCTTTACAATTTCTTTATATTTTATGTCTCTTCTTAAATAATGTACATTTTTGCAATATGCTATTAAAAGATTGCGCCTAGTATATATTTAATAACTACAATCAACGTAATTCTATAATTATATATATCTGCAGTAAATACGTAAATATTTTGTAAAGAAATGTGTTAAATTTAGTAAGTCTGGTAGCACTAACGATAACATATTGTTTTGTTTTTAATTGGCTTGATTTTATCGCAAATTTTGTAAAAATATAACATTTGAAAAAGGAGTGAAATGGTACACCTAATATAAAAACAAACATTTAATATATGTAAATTTATTTGCATATATGTATCAGAGTTCAATAAGACTTTAAACAACAATCTATGTGATATTAATACAGTAATGTAGTATGAATAAAAAACGAGAGCGAAGACAAGCATTTTTAATAAATCTTCAATAATTGTTAATATGATTCCAGAAGAGCGGCAACTACAGAATATTACACCGATAAGCATAAATGTACGTGCTAATGATGATTTGCCACAAGTTAAAAATGGCGAAAGCATTGAAATAATTTCTTGCAATAGTTTCAAGCTCCTATCACCAGATATTACTTCAGGAAACAAAATGCAGCAAAGTTACAACAGTGCAAGTACAAATAATACAGACATCTGTATATTGGATACTAATGAGTCTCATTATGATAATAAACGTGATGCTACTCATCTTCAAACGATAGATACAAATGGTTTTACGGTTCTAAATGTCCCTACACGACATGGTTGTAGTTGTGCGTTTGATGAATCTACCGAGGTTTTATTTGAAAAATTTGAATACAATGAACCACCATGTTCAATATCTGGTACAGATTCGGATGTTGAAGTACTAAATGACTCTGATTGGTCTGCAGGTATCACACCTGTATTAGATGAATTAGAACATATTGATGTATCAGAAATATCTGAATCAATAAAGCAGCCTATAATAAATACAAGAAAATCATGCAGTTCTGCCTCTCTTAAATGTGAGGAATCCACAGATCATGATATTTCTATTGAAGAATTTAGTCGCAGCTCTATATCAGGATATGAACACTTGAATCGCTCACAGCTTTTGAATATAATACGTGATCAAGCTATACGAATACGACAATTGGAAATAAGTTTACAACGATATAATACAGTCCATCAAGATTTATATAAGCAAGTAGATGCACTGCGTCATATAGATATCGAAACAAGAGCCTCACCGGAAGTCAAAACATCAAAGACAATCAATTAAAATATTTTTTGCTGGAAAGGAGTTTATTCCTGCTTATTTTATTTAAAAGCAAAAATAAACAAAAATTATAATTTAATTATTGTTTTTATTTAAACTTTATTAATTTTCAAAATTCTAGTATACCGACAGTTATAGTATAATTCAAATATGAGTTTAACCAATCTGTACCATTTGCAGAACTATGTTTTCTTAAGCTGATGAAGAAATAATATCGGTGTACGTTTTAACCTTGGCAGCAATGCTCATGTCAACATACTTATCACCAATTGATACAATTAGCCCCCCAATAATAGCAGGGTCTACACGTGAAGTTATTTTTAAAGTTTGGTTTGGTTTCAAGAATGCCTAAAAACGAAGATTGAACGTTGTAAATTAAATTAAAAAAATCGTTATCTATCTTACTTTAAGGGCACCCTCCAATTGCTTGTTCTGTCCGGCATCAAGTGGTTTGGCAGAAACGACTTCACACACAACTTCTCCCCGATGTGCTGCCATTATTA